TGCTTCTTCCAATCGAAAACCGTCTGCAGTCACAAAGAGGCTGTAAAAAAGTGTTCTCAAGCCGCAGCTTACGGCAAATTGGCAGTGTGGAATAACGAAACGTTTTTGAATTTCAAGCCTACCTTTTGGGACTCTGTCATAGGCGAAGGTTCCGCTCAATTCTGGGTGAAACACACAATTTGTGGAGGCATCTCCAATTGCACTATGCTCTTCGAAACAGCCTTTGACCCATTCCTAGTGGCTAAAGAAATCTTTGACAATTTAGGAAGCATATTTCGGAACAAAACTCAAGATCAAACAGAAGACATCTTCCAGGATAAAAGTTGCGCCTACATTTTCCCAAACAAATGGGCCGACTACAACCATGACAAAAGCATGTTCAGAAATAGTCCTGGTCCAGCCGTTGCATGTCAACGTCGGACATCTTATAAACTACTGAAGAATTTAGACAAAGTGGGAAATCATTTTGAACCATCCGGTTTTCCCAGGACAACAGAAATGGCAATGACTAATGTGGTCAACTCAATAAAACCACCAGAAAAAGTCAGCACCAGTATGTACACTAATGTGGAACAGACAACAGAGAGCATTCAAACTGAGGTACATGAAATGGATTTTAAAAAAAAAATTACTTGCTGAATATTGAAGGCAGTCAAGAGCAGGGCTTAATCCTTTTTAATTTTTGCTATGTTTTCACAGGTGGTCTCAGAACTTGGCTGAAGGCAAATGTGATTAGCAGCTGCTGCACCATTCAATCAATTGTAGTGTATGATGTTCCTCATGTATTACATGAGACACTGTGGATGTATGACTTACAATTTCAAATTTCATTTGTGAGCACATAAAATTTTCTTTTTAGCTCTTGCAGGTTTGCCTCAATTTTTTTTCCATGGGAAAGTCAATGACCTGAATGACAGATTTACTCAAGTACCACATGCACTTTTTTCCCAGATTTAAAAGGAAAAGAGGGATGCACACATTACAAAGGTATAAATTTCAAAATGATTTAAAAGTTCAGGTGTGCATATATACTTGATGATATACTGTGATGGGAAACTTTGGACCAAATTCAACAGAAAAACACATTTCAATTGAGAAAATTGAAAAGTAGTTCAATTCAGGCTCATTCCAAGTCTAACTTCAAATGTGGGTCTTTGTATTCTTGAAATAGTGTGGTTTCAGAGTCAATTGAAATGGGGTGCGCATATTACTCAGGGATACAATTTCATAAAAAAGTTTAACTGAAAAACCATGGTGGCCTCTTACTTGAGGGCATATGGCTACTAGAGTAAGTACAGGAATGAGANGGTTTCAGAGTCAATTGAAATGGGGTGCGCATATTACTCAGGGATACAATTTCATAAAAAAGTTTAACTGAAAAACCATGGTGGCCTCTTACTTGAGGGCATATGGCTACTAGAGTAAGTACAGGAACGAGGATACAGAATACAGTTGAACCTCAATCAATTAAACATTCATAGGTCAAATTTTTCAAGTTCTGGTCTTATTTCATTACCAACAATTTGATATAAACCTCCCTATCTTGAAGATTTTCTGCCACA